CTCTTTCCCCCTGGTCACCTCCACCTGCCCTTTAGGACTCAGCTCAGCGCCGTCACTCGGGAGGCCTCCCTGGTCCCCAACCCTGCTGACTCAGTCGGCGGTCCCAGGGTGTTCAGGGATCATGTGATCACATGTTGGTGACAGTTGTAACAACCCCGCCTCCCACACCCTTCCCGTCTTCTCTGCAAGGTCGGGAGCGTCCAGGCCTGACGGCTGCCGGCATTCTATAAACATGTGCCCACACCCCAGGTGCCCACCTCCCAGGCCCGGGTGACGCAGGCGCAGGGCGCTTGCACGCCTGCCCTCGCCGGCAGGTCCTGGCCGAGCCCCTCTGAGGCAGGGCGGCCCACACCATCGTGGGCCAGCTCTGAGAAGCCACAGCATTCGGGGTGCGGGGGCGGGGGACAGGTCAGCCCTCACAAGACCACAACGAGCAAAGCTTGAAAAGTACAAGTCAGAATTTTCATCAACTACTGAATACTTTAATGCGGCCATTCCACTCCTGGTGTGAATGCGAGCGGGGTGTCTGCCAGCGGCTGTGTGACGGTACTTAACCGGCAGTTTGCCACCGACTGCAAACAGCAGTGTCAGGTGGCAGACAGAGAGGTGGCCCTGCACGGGGACCAGGACGTGGGCTTGGTGTGCAAGGCACAAGGGGACGGCTCGTCGCTGAGCTGTGCCTGGACATTAAAGCAGACCCAGAAACTGCAACGGGCACCATCGCTGGCCACTTGAAACGTGCTTGGGATCTGTGAGCCGGACAGAATTCAAGCAACAAGGGCAGAACGCACCCCAGGTCCGGGCTCTACACCCCGTGGCCACCATCCCGCAGTGGCCCAAAGCAGCGCCTTCTCCCAGCCGCTGGCCACCTACCCGCTCCCAGGCCTCGACGAGAGGGCTTCTCACTCAATCCTGCAAGTGGCGAATGCTCCCTCTGTCCCCACCTCTGTCCTTGAAACTCGATGAGTTTCTTCTGCTTCTCTTCACAGCTGCAGGAAACTGAGCACTTCCCGGGAATGCTGGTCCTCCGACTCTGATGCCGTGGCTAGCCCTGAGACAGGTGTCCAGGCACGACGTCAGGTCGCACCACAAGCCTCTCCCCGGCTCCCTCTGCCGAGGCAGTGTTCCTGCCTGGAGCGGCTTTAGCTCAGCTGCCCCTCCCCAGACGCAGACACACTGACCGCCAGGGCCCTGCGGCCCCGGCCCCGGCCCCCCTCCTGGCCCCTGCCAGGCAGTCTGCCCCAGGCCTGGCGGGCTTGGCCTGTCCTGAGACCCCCACTCCCAAGTCTTTGCCCACATGTCCCCTCCCAGTAAGACTGTCCTTCCCTGCCCCATTTGAAGTCCTGACCCCCTCCTGCCCACACCCCCGGCCCGCCCGGCTCATCGCTCCTGGTCTCACTCTGTGGGGCCTGCTTACTCACTCTGTTTTGTTTTGTCAACCCCCTCGCCCCATGAGGACGTGCCCAATGGCCGGTTCACTGTGTACCCTGGTGCCTGCACTGGGGCCAGGTGCACAGCTGATGCTCGGTGAACATGTGTCTTATTGATCAACTGATGAACTTTTTGGAATAAACTGCAGGTGTATTATGGGTTTATACGTAAATCAGTCTGGATTTTGACGATGTACTTTTTTAATAATTAAAATACTGTATATACCTAGTGCTTGAACTAAATAAATGCAATTCTTAATTTTTTTCAGATCTTACTGGTATGTCTCTAATATTGTGCCAGAGTATTTTGTTTTTGATTACTTTTACAGTTGGTTGGTCCCCCGTGCCCCCAGGTTATTACAAGCCTTCACAGGAGGAGAATTACTGAAATGCAAAATCTCAAGGAAACGACAGGTGATAGACAAAACAGGGTCAAGAGAGAACCCTTCACGATGAAAGCTGTGACAAATATTTCAACTTCTAATTAATAACACAAGACAAAGAGGCACTGAAAGCCCATCCGTGGTAACACCCACGCCCCACGTCCGCATGGGTGGCTGTCAGTGAACCCACACAGAGGCACGTGACACGTGGCGGCGACGCTGCTCTGGGCAGGGGCGCCCTCGATGTGACACCGAACCGCTGAGCCCCACGTGACAGAAGCTGGCAGGGGACTTCGTGTGTCCCTCAGGTTCACACTGAACATGTCACACTGGGAAATGAGCACAGCTGAGGAGCTCGCAAATGGAACGCCAACGATGGGGAAACGGTATGAATTCTGTAATCTGTAGGCCATTCTGGACTAAATGAGAAACAAACAGTGTAAACTGTTTTTTAAAATACTGGTTACATTTATAAGTATGAAAATGGTACTTACTTGTCTGGAGAGATGAGTTGCTTGGCCACGGGACCCAAACTGCTTTCCAAGAGGTCCCAAATATAAACACAGGATGCGTCATCCTGGACCAGGAACACGGCAGGCCTTGTTAAGGACCACTGCAGGCCCGTGACGGCGTGGCCCTCAGTGCTGTGACTCCACTGCAGGAGCGGGTAGTCGGACGCCAGCTGGTGCAGCCGGAGGCTCCCATCAGAACAGCCGGCCTGTGGGGCAGGAGGAGTGGGGGTGTTGATCCCGATTCTTTATCCTTTTTTACCCAATCTCAGCAGCCAGGGAAATGTGTATGAGCATTAGCTATCTTTAGTTTGTACAGCAAAAAAAAAAAAAGGTTTATTTTTGTTTTTCCAACAAAACTATAACATGAAATCTGTTCTCACAAACTGCACAGATGAACGTTTACCTTGGAGATTCTGACCCATTTTGCACCTCTTCCTCCTCCCCAAAATGGCTAACGGTCAACGAATTCAGTAAATATGTACAGAGGTGTTTATTTTTAACAAAGCTGAGTATCACTGATTCACGCACAGGCCACTGAGATTACCTCCATGAAAATAAATAAGCTGTCTTTAAAAAACGTTACATACACTTGCATTAATAACATAGTCATACACCCTCATGGCTTGGAATTTCCACAAAACAAAACTTAGCTGGCTGAGTAAAAGATGAAATTCTCAGCTTAGAAAAAGAAGCTTCTAATTCCTTTTTACTCAGTACACTTCATCCTTCGCATACTCAAACAGAAGCACAGACGAGGGTGACCGGGAGGCTGTGTGCACTCCAGGGCCAAGCAAACCCGGGGCCGGGCCAGGCTCCCTGCTGCAGGGGCCGGGGAGCCCGGGAGAGCCGGCTTGGGGTGCAGGTGCGGGCCTGGGTGCGGGCTGCAGCTGACGCTGTGTCCCGCACGCCTGTACCTCTCACTGCGCGCAACCTGCTTTCTAGGTGTTTCTTCCTAACAAAGCCAGAAGTCTTCGGAGAAGTGGCTGATTCCTGGGCTTTTGTACCAGAAAGCAAAGAAGGTCTTACAGGGTGATGCTGGTAGGATATGGGGACCAGCTGCAAGGACGCCCCGGGCCAGCGGAACCAAGTCAGTGAGTGATCGTAAGGCACTGAAGACAGACAGGAGCCACGTGTCCATGCTGATGTGCCACACGCCCACCCAGGGGAGAAGACCAGCAACGGGGTCACACAGCCGCCGTCGGCATCACGCCAACAACAGATGCTGACAAGAATCACGGTGGATGCCGAGGGGAGGATGGGTGACAGGAGGGTGTAAGCAGCGGCCAGACCTGTCCCCCCAGAAGATGCTCGTGCATCAGAAGGGGGAGACGGGGACTCCACAGGAGGGGGTTTCACCTGATCCAGGGAGCACACGTGGGTCAGAATGCACCACCCGAACCCAAGCTCAGGAGCACACTGCGCCCTTCAAAAGTGTCCAGGTCATGAGCCTGAGGGACCGTCTGGGGCTGAAGAGATACAGTAAGGGACTGAGGCACATGGCCTGGGACATTACCTTGCTCATAAAGGACGTGAATGAATGGACGGCCGAGAACCCCAATCAGACCTGCAGACCGGGCGGCAGGCCAGCACTGGCTGACTCCTGAGGGGCGGGGGCGAGAGTGGACAGTGGCTGCGGCCCCTTCGGACAGTTCCAGTACGGAATCCACACCCGGGAGGACAGGGCAGAGCATGGTGGCAAGGGGGTGATGTGCGGGGAGCCCACATGGGGGGGGGCACGCAGGGATCCTTTGTGCTGTCCTTGTAACTTTTCCATGAGATGGGAATTACGTCAGAATAAGAAGTTTAAGGGGACCTTTTCAGCAGCCACACGGAATGACGTACGCAGATGGGACCCTCAGAGACGGAGGCGCGAGGGTGCAGAGCCACCCACCCCGATGGGCACCAGTAACCGGACAACTGAAAACTCCAGCATGTCGGTCACGGCCAGAGTTTTGCCGCCCAAACAGAACTGGTGCTTTGAAAACAGATGGTCTTACCAAGAATATTGGCTCTCCAAATGGTGAAAAGTCAATCACGTTCACTTTTACTGGTCTCATACTGTGTTGCTGGGGTTTGAACGATTTGGGAGACACTCTCAAGTCTTGTCTGGTGCCATGGCTTATAAGACCCTAGTAACAGGAAGACTAATGGTGACTAAACAGGGTTATGCACAAGGCTGGCTTCAGCTATTTTTCTTGAAACAATTTAAATGACATTATAATAAAAGCAAACAGTAAGTTAACCTCTAATGAAGACATCTGTCAAGCAACTCTAGAAAAGAGGAGGCACAGAATGAAATTTAAAATGTTACCCACCATGTTGGTGCCAGCAATAAAGTGGTTAGGGTCCGAAGGCAGAAATTTAACATTCAGGGTTTGTATGGCCCCCCAAAGTTCATGACCTTTATGGGAAAGGCTGGAAAAAAAATACAAAGATGGACAGGGATACTGTAAGGATAGTGATAACGCACTGACCACGTACCACGTGTCATTAGACATGTCGGAGGCCACGTCACATTTCACCATTTCTCATTTCTTTGTGCTTTCAATAATTTCTTCAGCTCTATCCTCCCGTTCACTAATTCTTTCTTCAGCTAGGTCTAATCTAACCATTCACTACCTGTTAAATTTCACGGATAAGTTTCATTTCTAGAATTGTCTTTTAGATCGCATGATTATCTCATTCTCGGTATGCTGATCCTCTTTGCTGTGCTACAGTGATGCTTCCTCACGCGTGCAGTTTCTGGAATTTCTCATTGTGGGCCTTCCTATGTGAGCCCTGTGAGCCCAGCTTGCGGACATATCCGCTCCCCAGATAGCTGTCCCTGAGCTTCAACGGTGCGCCTGTGGGGGCCACTTGTCTGCGGCTGCCAACCCCGAGTGGGATTTCGAATCTTCCACTCTGCCCACAGGGGCAGTGAGTGCCACCGTCCTGTGCAGGGGCCTCGCTCCTCGCGCCCTGCCTGAGGCCAGCCCAAGGCACCACTGGTCTTGTGTGAGCTGGAGCCGACAGCCCAAGAGCCTGGTCTGCATAGCACGCAGAAGCTGGCCGCTGACTCCTAGCTCCAGCCTTACGGATTCTCCTGTCTTTTTAAAAACTCTATTTAGTTTGTTGTCAGTGTTCTGCCTTACCTAGTGCATGCATCTGTAACAGGAGAGGGCCACCTCCCTTGTCACCATTAGGAAGCCAGCCACTCTCTCTCACACCACATTCAGGACCTGTCCCTGTCTGCTGGGGACTCCAGGTCTGGGCCTGCAGCCCAGCTCCCTCCTGCAGGGCTGCCTGCCTCCGCACCGCCACGCACACCACACACTCGCCCCAGGCTGACCACATCCTACTGCAGCAGCCGCCATGGCCCTCCCCTTCCCTCTCAGTCCTCATCTCGGGGGTGGGACCCGGAAGCCCAGCCAGACACCTGATGAGGCAGGCCCCTCCCTCTCGCTGTTCCTGGAACCCGCACCGTCAGTTACGCCCTGTGACTGAAATCCACCCCACACCCATGACGGTCCTCTCGGCTCAGACCCTGACATTTCCAATGACCAGCATGACAGCCTCCCTTCCTCTGTTCCAACCTTATATCATTGTCAAGTTGATCATTCTCAATTGCAGCGAGACCTGCCACTCCCTGCCTTAAATCCTGTAAAGACTCCACATAGCCATCAAGAGAACTGTCAAACCCTTCGGGTCAGCAAACACTCAGCGTCTGGCCACAGACCCGTCCCCAAACCTCTCGACAGCAAATCTCCTGGCATTTTCCTACATGTGTCCTGCCTCTTCACGCCTCGGGGTGCCCAATGCACTGCTCCCTCTGCCCAGAGCACGCTCCGTGCCTAAGTCCCACCTCAGGTGTCGCCCTTCCAAGAAGTCACAATTTCACTCCATCCCCCAATGTCACCCCCCCGAGATCCCACATGCCACATGCATGCCCCAACAGAGCAATCCATGCATGTGACACATCCACAGTGGACAAGGCAACATGCCACCACCCAAGGTCACACTCGCTCTGGGGACTCTCAAGTTCAGTGACTGATGGAGAGAGGGCACGAAGGCTGGCGAGGACGCCTGGAGAGCCGTTCCAGCTGGCGCTCCCGGGGCCAGGTGGCTGTCTGTGGCCTGCGTGACAGCTCACAGCCAAGCCTGCGCCTCCCCTGCTTTCCAGGCGCCGATCCTAAGGGGTCCCCACGAAGACCTCCCTGCACTAAACTCCGCAGGGAGCTAACCTGCAACAGCCGCTGTGCTCGCCCGTGGCCTTGCAGGCGCTGCAGGGCTCTGAGGCTGGCCCAGGCAGCACCTGTGGCTGGCTCTCTACATTACTCAAGTTTTTATACATAACCGACGCTGTGTTAATTGCATTTAAGTCAACTGCAGGTGATTTGCCATCTGGACGCTGGTACGAGTTCATCACTGCCCACAGGTACTGTGGCTGATAAGTAGGATTCGGGCTAACATCAAATGTTTTTCAAAGGTAAATCTCATACTGAGAGTTAGCCCCTGACTACAGTAAATGACAAGAAAAGGTTTCTTCCAGAAATTAACATGCAACATATAAGTACTATAAATTATATTTGTACGTTTAAGATTTTTTGTCATATTAAGTTATATGAGTAAAAGCAGAAGTTGAAACTTCTGAATTAAACTCTCATGTCAATGTTTCCAGTTTTTGAAACTTATCTATGTTTAAGTTCAGGGCTGTATTAATAATTAGTGAAAAATAGTCAAAATAGAACCAATTTGTAAGATGGAAAATATTTTAATCCAAAAAAAAAAAAAATGTCAGCTCTATACTTGGCAACCGTATTTTCACACTGACTCGTTCATTATAAACTGTTTAGCAAGAACACTGGATCCTCACTGCCAACCTGACCATCCGCCGACTACGCATGACGCCGCCAATGCCACCGCCTTCTGTGGGAAACGGTCCTGGAACCTGAGCAGGGGATGGCTGAGCTCGAAGTGGCAGGTCTTACCTGTCACTCAGGTGAATCACAGCACTGTGCACTAACTTTATCCTCCCTCCAGGCAGCAGCCCTGCAAACGGAGAAATCCTGAGTCTGGTCACAGGTGCCAGGCCCCCCTTTCCAGCCTCCGATCGGGAATGAGGAGGGGCCTTCCTGACGCAGGAAGGGCTCCTGAAAACCGCCTGGGGTGACGACCCTGCGGCTCAGGGCCCTGTGGGAAAGGCTGGTGGAGTCAAGACCAAGAAACCCTGGCCTGTTCAGATTTCATAAGATGAGCACAGCGCACTACGCAAAAACCAGTCAGGATTTAAGGTGCCTCGAGCCCCAGCAGAAGTGCATGGCTGCATACGATGGGGGACGTCCCCATCACCGCCTGCCTGCTCTGCGCACTTGGCGTCCCCACCCTCCTCACAACCTCCCCAAGCAGTGAGCCACAGCTCTGACCCCTCGGCCGTCCATGGGCTCTGCCTCCTTTGTCTGGTCCTAATATCATCCTCCTTTTTTTATAGTTACTGCAAAGAGGGAAACTAGAAATTTGTGTATATTAAAACCCAAATTCTGGGCAAGCTACTGCCTTAAACGAAGTAAATAAACTGCATCTGCAGTGACTGTCCACACAGCACGGCGCTGCTGATACAGCCTCGGTACCCATCACAGCTGTCGCTGATGCCAGCGCGCTCAGGGTTTCTGCTCATAGACTTCACATGGCCCTCCCACTCCTCCTCACTGCTGGGGGCCCAGAGGTCATCTCCCCGGGGGCCCAGAAGTCACCTCCCCGGGGGCCTGGAGGTCACCTCCCTGGGAGGTCGAGGCTGACCTGGGCCCTAGGCCCTTGACGAGCACCCTTGCCGACCTATCTCCTGGAGGCAGTGCCTATCTCGTCACCCTTGTTTCCTGGCACTTAGGACTGGCCTGGCTTGCTCCAAGAACGCTGCATCCACGAGTGGAGGAGAGACGGTGCTGGCTAATCTAACCGAGACCCGAGTTCTTGACCGGCCCCTTATCTAACGCACACAGACAGGGCTCGGAACCATCCGAGATGTCCCCAAGCTATCATTTAGAGAACGGTGTTATGCAGCCAGAAATACAACTTACTGAACCTCACTGAAATAAAAACACTCAGCCAAAACATCCCGTAACTGCCCGAGGTGCTCGTGCGATGACTGAGAGTTATGAATATGCAGCGTTAATGTTCAGTTCTCGGGAGCTAACCTCCTATTTCTCACAGTGGTCACTGGCATCTTTAATCTATCCACCTTAGCAAACATCGACTAAAGTTAGTTTTTTATTTAATAGTTACCTAAATCACTTATTGAACCTGCAATATCTGCCTTTGGTAATTCAACAACCACCTAAAAACAGAATATCAAAAATGAATATTAATACATTTTATAATTATGAAACTAAGCAAAGCGCAGCTCTGATTAAGACAGCATGCTGGACTAGGGGCTCGAGCATAATCGCTGACCTCAGAACCAGCATGTTAAATGTGGGAACCCCTTTCTCTCGACCTCTCACTCTGTCCTGCGAGTGGCCGATGGCCAGACCCTCGGGGACCATCTGCCGGCCCTTCTAACGCCCTTCGCCCTCCAGCCCTGACACTGCTCCTGCCTCCCCCGGATCCCGCACGAGCCCCCGTGGTCCAGTCCTGCCTGGTGCCCTGTCTCAGCTGGGGCACTCCCCGCACTCCCCCGACCGCTGCACGCCAGCCGGCCACAGGGCTGGTGCGTGCCATGACAGCGCACCCCACTCACCCACACGTTGAGAACCCCGCTCTCATCCAAGGAGGCGACGTGGAACGACAGACCCGACATTTCTGGTGAGACAGAGAAACGGCTGTAAACGGGGAGCGCGCACTTCACGCCTGGACTCACGGGTTTCCCGGAGGGCAGGGGCCGCGCACCTTCCTGAGCAGCGAAGGGAGAGAGCAC